TGGATAAAACGGCCATCCAGTGCTTTCAGGTTCTCCATGGTGGTCTAGCTTCAATTGATTCATGAATTCAATTAGTAAATTACTATAATATTCACAAAACCCCCCTCTAATTTAAAAAGTTGTCAAGACTTTATTAATAATCAATACTTTTAAATGGTAGTCATAGTTATTATATTTTTTTGGAGGAATTTATCATTATAATCATGTCCATTTTAAATAATTCATTATTTTATATTCATAAATTACGTTCTAGTTCTTGACCAAATTTATTTGTTTTACAAACGTACTCTTATTATTTAAAATGGCGCCCATTTATTATCACATATATATGTATGTAAAAGATAAAATACAAATGATTTAATATCTACTATTTTGTATTTTAAAACAACGTTTGTTTTATTAAACATTGAAGTGTAAATTATGTTTATTTATGAGAATTTTATAGTTGAATTCATGAGTCAACTTAAGTTAGACTATCATGGAAACTATGGAAGCATTGGATGGTCGTTCCGTCATAGTATGGAACTCTTCAGCAGTGCGTATCTACAATCCCACCTTGCGAGATTCGAACCCAAGACCTATCATTCTCGTACACGAATGTTTAACTTCTAGACCACTGAGTCTGTTGTATCCAATAGTGTTTTTACTATATATTTCAAACAAAATATTTAATCACTTCTGCACTTGAATAATTAAATGTTATCTAAGTTAATTGAAATAGATTGATAGGCGTATATATGATATATAAATATATGATAACCTTTTTGGAGATTAAATCATACTTTATCTGATTGCATGAGTAAAAATAATAAGCACATGATCCTACGGTAATCAGTTATAAAATTGTCCCAGTTTCAAAACAATAACATTATTCAATTATAAAATAAAAGTACTGAAGTTGAAAGAGGCTCAGATTTTTTTTGTTTGAATTATTTTGTATAACATTTCGGTTGATATACTCTGGATGATCCAATACGATAATCATAGAATGTTATATAGATCAATTTTATAAATCCCTTCCAGAAGTGTAGGTTTACAAAGTTAATAAAAGTATGACATATTCCAGTAAAATTTGATCAGTAAAAGTTATTTTAAATCGTATATGGATAGTTTTTTGTTACTATTGTGGTGTATGCTACTTATATCTGTCAATATAAGTAGCATGCAACACCAATCAAAAGTTGAATGCCTGGTAGCAGAAGATTAAGAAGATCGAATTGAAGAGAACAGTAACGTATACAGAGAGTCATTGTGAATAACAACAGAAATAAAGGAATCATGATGTTTGTAAGAAACAACTGATGGAAGATATGCAAATGATGTACCTAATGTATGATTTTCATACTATCTCGTCAAGATCTCGTTCACTACATTATAAATAACTTCAGATTATGTTGAATGAGTGAATAACAAATTGACCAGACACTATAAGCAACAATCTACTGTGGGAGAGAACAAACCAGATCCCAATGGAGGAAAAAATCAGGTAGAAGTAGTGGAAGTGGATAGGATACACATTAAGGAAAGCACCCAACTGTGTCACAATTCAAGCACTCACTTGGAATCCTCAATGCCACAGGAAAAAAGGAAGACCAAAGAACATATTACGTTGAGAAATTGAGAAAAATATGAGAAGAATGAGTAACAACTGAATAGGACTAGAAAGGAAGGCGTAGGACAGATTGGTTTGGAGAATGCTGATTGGCGACCTATGCTCCATTAAGAGTAACAGGCGTAATTAAGTAAGAATAACAAATTATGGTAACGTGTTTTGATACTGCCTAGTAAATGAAGTCATTTGAACTCTTTTATCTTAATAAGGAAATATATACGATAGTCAGTATTAGCCGACAAGTTAATCTGCTTGTTAGTCATTTTTAACTCATTAGTTCAAGTAACAATTAAATCTAAGCATAAAATTTTTTAAATTATGATTAAGATATTACACTTAGAAACAAGAAATTATTCCTAACACATCTAATTTGCAAAATCTTAACCACCATAAATCAGACCTATGTCTATTGTGTAATGTAAAAGGAGACTAAACGTCTATAAATACATTTCTACTATTACTGAATTATTATCAGATTATTCCTTTTGACTGAAGTGTAGTTTAATTTCCTGTCAAAAACGACATAGTTATGTGCTATGATGTTGGTATGCCGCATCAAGTCAACAAATTACATATTTAGTTTATTTTTCATTACGAAGTGATATCGCCTAGAGAATCAGGAGGAATCAGGGAGCTATTTAAACAAAAAAAACAGCTATTTAATCCAAGTTGGAAACTTCCCAATAGTTATACACCCATAACTTAATGCAAGATTGAACGTAGGGTATTCTTTACGCAGGAATCGAAATCTAGTAGTTTGTATTTTCAAATTCGGGTAAATCATATTGTTTCTGAAACTATCGCCATCATTATCATTCAATGTTATCACTCGCACCGCTAATACTAATTATCTTATTGGTTCTTGGTCAATGTTAGATTCTGAGTAAACACTACTGAGAGATTTTAAACTAGATCCAGATAGCTTTTCAATACTATCTGGTTCATAATGGATCTCTGATAGGAATTCTAAAGAATAAAACAAATAGTTCTTTTTATTGGTGAATAGAGTAATTCATTCAGCTAACATTTAATTATTCAACCAGTGAGCTTTAAAAAAAAAATTTGAATTCGGCACATATATTTATTGGTTCAAGTTGCCAAGCCACATCAATTCAGGAAGATGAAATTATCAATATAACTGACTAAATTGTATAAATCATCACAAAATCAGTAACAGTAGAAAAGATCAAGCTTTGAAACTAGGAATCTAGCAGAAAAGATGAATTCGCCGACTATGAAGTATGAGATAGGAAAGAAGAATACTGAATACATCTCGTCCATTATTGCCAACTTTGACTCATAACCGAACATATCCGACTAATGATTAAAATCATCACGCTGTCGCTAACCAGGTTATCATATAATAAAGCAAATCAAATATCGTTTAATAATTTTCTTACGTGATGGTATAACTGATCGTAGGTTCACATATAACGAGAAATAAATCCTGAAAATGTTGACAACAGATTCCTATACACCGTTTTTTTAAAGCAAGACTACTTACTTCAAATATAAGTCTTTGAATAATTTCAATCATTATTAAATAATAGTTTTCGAAATGAATTCTTTAAAAACTGAGACACATTAAGGAAGAAACTGTTTCTAGATCACCTGTGTAAGTTCCACTGTGTAACGTTAAAACTAGTAAAATAGGTAAGGTCCAAAGTGCAGATACCTAAGGATAAATATTACTGTATGATAATAGAATTATATCATCAAATTTACAAAACATGAATTGTCATATTTTCACTAACTAGACGGGTGATAAAGTATTCGGTACGTAATTCATCATTTGATTCATTGTACACACTACTATGTGGTGCTACAGTTAAATAAAACAGTTATCTAGTATACAGTAAAATATGACATCAGTTCATCAAATGATTGACTTTTTATCTAAGATATATAGTATTGTTATCAGAATGTGCTTTGTGGAGATTTTTAGAAATTTCGCAAGTTGAAATCATGAGTCAATTGAAGCTAGACCACCATGGAAAACCTGGAAGCACTGGACAGCCGTTTCGTCCTATTATGAGACTCCTCAGCAGTACGCATCCACGACCCCGCACCCAGCGGGATTCGAACCCAGGACCCACTGGCTTCGCGCGCGAGCACTTAACCACTAGACCACTGAGCCGGCATCCAACGGTGTTAATGTCTAACTTCAACCAATCCACGAAGTTGCGCCACCGTACACCATTGTCTTCAGTGAGTTCCCATCTCACAACAGACCTGGTTGAACTCCACTGGTAACGACTTCTCACGAAACGGCCGTCCAGTGCTTCCAGATTTTCCATGGTGGTCTAGCTGCAAATGACTCATGATTTCAACTTGTGAAATATATAGTATTATGTGTAGATCATATAGTTGAGGTCTACGAGATAATTATGAACACTAGTAAATGAATTTGATATCATAAAATCGATCACACTAACGTAGATTCATTCATAATTTGTCTTCAACAAATCATACGTTTTATTCACCCATTTCATTCCCCCCCCCATGTTTGGCCTTACTGTTACTTGTCTTTCTCACACTTTTAATTCATTGGCTTAAATCATATTAACTTTGTTCCTCTACATTGAAGTGACTGCACAATTTGTTCTGATATACAATTATGAAAGGTTCTCTGTTGAGTATGATCCTGATTCTCTTATAGATTTACTTCCTAATATCAAATAAAACGCAAAATATATTTTCATAATTAGATCTACTTGATATTGTTTACTTGAACCTTTCCATTGATGTTTAGGACTGTAATTAATCAGTCTCTTATTGACATATGTGTATACTGTTCGGATTATTTCGTTATTGCCTTAATTGAAAAGTATTATAAGCAAAGATGGATAGTGGCTAGTAGTGGAATCCAGGATACGTGTCTCATCCTGTTTTCGGATTCGTCAGTTGATTGCACCTGCATCTCATAATTGATGTCCACTCAGGGACTCCAACCCAGTATCATTCGCTTCAAACACCATCACATTATTCACTCAGCTACTGAGTCCTAATAGCCACTTGCTAGTGCAATGAGATGAAGTTTAAATTCACTTAGTATTGTTTACTTAAATCTTTCGATTGTTATTTAGGACTGTAATTGATCAGTCTCTTATTGACATATGCCAATAGGACAAAACACATCTCCTAGATTCCATTGCTAACCACTATCCATCATTACTCATAGTTGACTTTAATCTTCAAAAACAAATCCAAAATAAATACAATAACTCCTCTTGGAGCTCCTCTGTTGCTACTGCCGTTACCAAGCTCAGACAAAGGGGGGAGGGTTAGACATAGGATTAACGACCTCATCCCATAGAAAACTAACTCGCCGAAAAAAAAACACATACACACACACACACTCTAACTATAAATACAGAATAATACTCACATTTATTTGCAATAATTTTCTCTTCAGTTGTATTTTGTTTCAATGTAGTATGATCAATTGAATGATACAATTTTGATGAATCCATTTGTATTGTTGTTACCATTGAATGTAAACCATCAACACTTGTTGATATATATAAATGATTCGGTATTAAATCATATTCAGTTGCATTTATTTTATTCATTTCATTATTTGATTGATTCATATTAAGATTATATCGTTTCTTTAAACATTGTAAATATTCTTCACATATACGATGTCTTGCATTTAAACGTGTATTATGATCTAATTCTATAGTTGATTAAATAAACAAGAATAAATAAATAAACACTAACATATATATATATATACATAGAAACAAATAAGATGAGATGGATATGCATGATCAGGTGAATTTATAGGTTACGATCTATGAATAATCAACACAATGAGATGATTATACCTAAGAAATTACATGAGAGTTGAGGCCTTGATTCGGTCTTATGTTATACATATCATTGTTCACATACACATCATATATATATGATATGTGTACAATAAACATTGGATAATGAAAATTACCTATGTAAATTAGTATTCATGTTTAGATAGAACCAATATACATTAATATGTGAAGATTATAGGATGAATCATGTCAAGAAAAATCATGTGGTGTTGTTATTTTTTTATAATTGTATTTTCTCATTGTCATTTAGGACTGCAATTGATCAGTCTCTTATTGGCATATGTAGATCCTGTGTGGATTGCCTCGACTTAAGCAAAGATGGATAGTGGCTAGGAGTGGAGTCAAGGTCGCGCGTTTCCTTCTATTCGGGACTCTTCAGCTGGATGTACCTGCATCTCAGAATTAATGTTCACCCAGCGACTCGAACCCAGTACCATTTGCTTCAAACACCATCACATTATCCACTTATCTACTTAGTCCTGATAGCGACCTGCTTGTGCAGTGCGGAGTGAATATCAAATCTGGGATGCAGGTAAATACAGCTGATGAGTCTCAAATAGGACGAAATGCGCGTCCTGGATTCCACTGCTAGCCACTATCCATCATTGATTGAGTGTTATTTTTCATAATTAACAATAGTGTTTAATCTCACTTTGTGTTGTTTGCTTGTATCTTCCGATTGTTATTTAGGACTGTAATTGATCAGTCTCATGTTGGGATATGTGCATGCAATGCGGATTGCCTTGAGATAGCCTTAAGTCACAAGTTTTTTAAGCAAAGATGGATAGTGACTAGCAATGGAATTCAATGAAGAATATTATTGTTGAGAAATAGTTTCTATGAATTACGATGGCAACATTTATTAACTAAATGCCATTAGTGTATGAATATTATCCTTGTAAATTTGCTTCAAGTCAAAAACCTAACATAGTGTTTTTAAACCAATCATAGAAAGTGATTGGCTTCTATTAGTTGTCTAGTCATCTTTTAGAGTGACCGTCATCGAATGATCTTAGTCTTATAAAGGATTAGATCTAGAAATTGGAATTTTATAGTGTAAACACTATCATCTGCATGAACCTGCATCCCAGAGTTGATGTTCACTCCGCACTGCACAAGCAGGTGGCTATCAGGACTCAGTAGCTAAGTTGATAACGTAATGCCGTTTGAAGCGAATGCTACTGGGTTCGAGTCCTGGAGTGGGCATCAATTCTGAGATGCAGGTACATTCATCTGACGAGTCCGAGTACAAGATGAGACGCACATCCTGAATTTCCCTACTAGCCACTATCCATCTTTGCTTATAATGCTTATGACTTAAGGCTTCTTCGAAGAATAAATAAATAAATAAATAAATAAATAAAAATTAATCCAAGTGTTTGATTTGGTTGTTTATTTACTCTCTGAAGAAGTGGCTTACATTAAGTCACGAAACGTCCGAAAATCTAATTTTTCTAATCATTTGGGATATTTACAAATATATTATTTATAACAATATAACCAATGCTCAATTTATTTGAAATTATTGAGTCAAACCTTGATAATGATACCTATAATGAAACTCAAATTATTGGCTTACTTACTTCATGATTCAAGTTTCTTTAATTTGTGTTTTATCTTCTAATGTTGGTGTTTTTTTTCATTCTTCTAGATAATGATGAATTTGTGCAGAAGTGAGTACAGTAGAGAAGATTTGTAGCTCAGGTGGGTGATTTCAATTAAGTTTTGTTCTCTGAGCTAGATGGTATGGTCATGAAGCTTTGATTGTCCTCCTGAACGACGTCATCAGCATAAATATTAGGTAGAAATTTGCGCTGATGGTGTCGTTCAAAAGAACAATGAAAGCTTCATCATCAAACCATCTAGCTCAGAGAACGAAACTCCATCAGAATGAGTATAAGTAGAATATTACAATTGAAAGCATTCATGTGAACTATAAATCTTCTTCATCGACTTAGGAATTTATGAGCTGGTTTAAGTTTTGTCGTCTGACTGTATTTTCTAACCATCATCATCATCCATACTTGTTAATTATTTTTAAGTATTCAACATTAAATACTTCAAAAGTTTATTTAATCAACAATTATATTGAAAGAAAAAACCCAGAAAGTATTGTATTGTTGATTTTAAAATTCCAAAGCAGACATCATTTACAATATACAGTCTTCACATCAAGAACGATCCCAGTCATCGACTGAGTTGGTGCTTAATAATTCACACTTGTTTTAAATTAACCCCATTTTTATTTATAACAATCTAATTTATCTGTTATATGTAAATAAACATGTATTTTGCGATATCTACGTAGAGTAAGGCGAAAGCACGGAATACGATGGACAGTTTGGAATCAACTAGACGATGTGGACTTCGCAGACGACATAGTTTTTCTATCCTACACACGCATACAAACACACCAGGAAATGCAGGTGAAGACATCTAGTGTAGCAGTAGCCTCTGCATCACTAAGCCTCAACATACATAAAGGAAGAACCAAGATCCTCAAATAAAACACGGAGAACATCAACCCAATCACACTTGATGGAGAAAGTCTGGGAGATGTGGGATGTTCCAGATATCTGAACAGCATCATCATTGATGAACAAGAAGCATCCTATGCAGACGTAAAGGCAAGGATTGGTAAAACAATGGCAGCATTCCTATAATCGAAGAACATATTGAACTCGAAACAACTGTCTGTCAACCAATATGAGATTCAGAATCTTCAATACGAAGGTTAAGACAGCTCTACTGTACTAGGCTGAAACTTGGAAAACTACCAACACCATCATCAAGGATGTACAAGTATTTATAAACGATTGTCTACACAAGATACTCAATGTTGATTGACCTGATACTATCAGCGACAACCCACTGTGTGAGAGGACAAACTAGTTTCCAATTGAAGAGGAAATTAGGAAAAGACTCTGGAGGTGGATAAGACATACATTGTTGACATCATCAAACTGCATCACAAAGTATTCACTAACTTGGAATCATGAAGGGAAACGGAAACGTGGAAGACAAAAGAACACACTACGTTGAGAATTGGAAGCAGATATGAAAAGAATGAATATCAACCGGAAACAGCTGGAACAGATTATCGAGGACAAAGTTGGTTGGAGAATGCTGGTGGTCTCCCTATGCTACTTCACGATGGATAACAGATAAGTAAGTGATGTTGAGTATTATGAACTTTTTGAAATATTGAATGCTAAGTATTCTGTGTTATTTTAAACATATAATATTGTGAATGGATTGTCTATGATTGTTATTATGATATTCTACGAAACTCATTATCCAATACTGTTTATAGTTAATTTTTAACTTCTTGTTCTAAGAATTCTATAGATCAATGCTTTGAAATCAATCTGTGGAAATATTTCTTCTCAATACAATCACGAATGAGCAGTTATTGTCATTATTTCCTAAAGTCTCAGACAGAGACTAATTAGGTATCTAATGTTACATAACTGTCATCAGTTTTCCTGTAAGTCTCATTACGTAATCACAATGCTAAAGTATTCAGAAAAATCCTTATGCAACAACCGTAGTATATAATAATTTGGTAACTAAATCATTGATTTTAATCCATATTCATCAAATCAACAATGTAGTTATTAGTCGGAGAAACTTAATAAGCGCTGGACTGTAAATAATATCTATCCTTATTTCACTGCGTCACAGTTCTTAGTATCATTTGCGACTAGCTGTCTAAAATTATAATTCCTTTGAGTCGCACCTATTAAATTAGTGTAAACAAAGTCAATTTCCTTTACTAGTTGCCCACTAAAAAGGAATAGTATTGACAACCACTTTTGTTCACTACTGAATTATTGAATGAACCACTGAATGTTAGGTGACTGGAGCCAACAGGATGAAATCCTTTAACCTTAGTTTCTTTTTAATTCACAATTGTCAGTCAATTATATGAGCTTTTCTGAGAGAGCTGATTCCCTACCTCATAGGATTCAAAACGCAGATATCCAGTTTCATAGTCAAAGACGTCATCATTGAGCTAATTGAGTAACGACCGACTTTTTGTCAAACAGACATATTTACACTAACTGAGCACTGAATAGTTAGCAGTACTATGTGTAAATAAATAACGTTAATCAAGATATTAGTTCAAGTTCACCTACTTTATTTAGGAGAAATAGTCAATTTTCCTAATTGATGCTACTATTAACACTAATCAGTAATAGGTTGGATTATTTTTAGAATGATCCCATGGGATAAATGCATTAAATATGCATCCTACCTACCTTTGAATATCTACGTAATCTTGATCATCAAATTTGTGAATAATCAATAAAAGAATTTCAATATTAAATGAGCTCATAATCATGACTAAGCACCAATAAAACAGTTACTAATTTTACACAGTACTCCCATTTCATTAATCTTTGATTAGCTCCTATACAAATAGTAATTATGATATGTTAATTATTTAATAGTTACAGCCTACCAAATATAGTCTCCACCAAACAATAAGGCGAGATTATAATTTATGAACGAACCAATCAGATTTAGGATAACATATCTTGGATTTTGGCGCGTAATTTATTCATTTGTTTGGCTAAATAGCGCTTTAGCACGATAGCTACTGTCACTTCATGGTGAAACCTTAACTCTGGTTCCTAATCCTAACCATCAACTGTAAGTCATTATTCTTATTCTTCACAATGTTTTATAACGCTCATTTAGCCCTAGTTAGTAGGTGGACATTCTCAAGGTCACTTTAGCGTAACTCAAAGGTCGTCCATAAATTATAGTCTCACCTCTTATACATAAATCGTAATGGCTATAATGAAATTTATCTGTGTCATTTACGTAATAGTGAAAATGCTAAGTTAAGTTTTTAATTACATTATCATATCCATTCGTTGTACCGATACTGGCTAGCATTACATGAAGATAGAAAACAAACATTTAGAATTAGTAATCTCCAAAATTGAAAATATGAAATAATTCTTCCATTACCCTAACAAAATGTAACAGAGATAGAGTTATTTCTGTGAAATCCATTGGATGCCGACTCAGTGGTCTAGAGTTCA